AAGCCAAAAAAAAAAAAATAAGACTTACATAAGATTTTCAGAATAGTGTAAGTATTCTTCATAAAACGGCTCATGTGGTGTAGTTATGTGTAGCTCATCATAAAATAGATAGTATTACTATTGTTAGTTGTCGAATTATTAATGTAATTTTTTCTCATAATTATAATATCATAATAAATCAGCGTTACATAAAAAAAAAGATTTTTGTAGTACTGATTAATGGCACAATATGGCACGGCCATTTTGATCTTTGATTTAACAGTATTAAATTTAACAATAGGTTTAATCCATCCGCCAGAATAAATTTAACAATAGGTTAATATTATTGTATAGAACCAAGTCAATGTTTGGAGACATAAATAATACAGCCTAAAAAGAGAACAACAAATAATTTAAATGGTACAGTATTTGATGATGCGATGGATTTTCTATTTTGTTATTTGTTTGAGTTATATTATAATTAACATTTAAATATATTTTTATCAGATTCTGTTCAAATATTTTATTTCATTTAAGGTCGTTGCATAGGTATAAAGCAGGTACCTTTGATGCATAAGTAGTCAATGTCTTTGTTTACTATTATGTAAATAGTTCAGTTTTTTCTATTCATTTCTTAATATTTATAGTTTTAATTATTTCGTAATATTTTGAAAATGAATAAAACTATTTTAGTTTGTTTGTGCTAAGTTTCAGTGATTTAATTTAATAAATTTATCTTTATATATATAGATATATAATTTTATAATACATAAAATTATATTTAGTATTATAGTTAAAGTATGTTTTCTGAAGAGTTTCAATATTTATAATATTGGTTTAATTTATTTATAGATGAGAAAAAAAAGTTTCTATTCTAGCACGAAATTTATGGTAGTGTAAAATAGGTTTTGTAAACAAAATATGAGTGACACCGTTCAACTTCACAATATGATGAGAAAATAATTAAAGATTAATTTTCTATTTTTATGATTTGCATAACACTTTTTATGATTCATGTACTTAATTCTGAATGATGTTAATTAATGTATCATGTGCTTTGATGAATACATTAATGATTTTCATAAGAAATGGCCCTTGATTCATTCATTTGAAAACATCCTTGAGGCAAATCTAGCAATCCATTACTCTCATGACTGAATTCGTTTAGTTCATGAAAATAACCATAACGTTTTTTATGTTTACATTGATACAATAAATAATAGCGACAAAATGGTTTGGAGATTTTCGTGCAAGTGAGACAAAGATATTATTAGGGTCAGAGGTTCAAACCATGTAACATAAACCGATTGTATCATTCTTCAAATCTGAGACAGTGTCTGTATAATTTAAATACTATTATACATGCACCATTAAGAATCCAAATACAATGCGTTTTGTTGATTTACATGATCGTAACTCAACTTCAGGAGGTCGTCGCAGCAACATTATCAAGTTGACCGAAAGTAGCAAATAAGCAAATCAAAAGTAGGACTTTCTTGTGTGAAGAATTTGAAATTGGACTACTTCAACTACGATGTGTAGATTCTGCTGATATGTAGGGCATTGCTCCCAAGGGGTCCTCCACACCTGCTCTTTAAAAAAAAAAAAAAAACTACTATGATACTGACATATGATGGTGAATTAAGTTTTGACACCATTACTGGTTCTATTTTCTGAACACCTCCATACTTTGAAGAAATTGAGAAACAATTACCATAAGTGTTAGCATAACCTGTGGTGAATAATGTGTATCATGTTTGAGTAGGTGTTTATGATATAAGTGTAACTGATAAATTATTATTTGAGCATCTTACTTACTGATGAAGCATTGACCAGCACCGGTTTCATTGTCAAACTCTGCAAACATATAAACCTGAGCACGAATCAAGTAATAACAGATGATTTTTCCTCCTTGGCATTCATTTTGTTGAGTTAACAACCACTGAGGCCTGTGAAAGCAGCATGATTTTTATTCAAAAAAAGAAAAGAAACTTTATAAAACTTAAAGTTAATACCTTGTAAAGGAACCTCCTCATATCATATCCCACTTTGGCATAATTAATTTGATCTGGTGGAAATGCTTGTTTTGGTCTGCAAGAAAAAAAAAGACAAATTAAACTTCACATATATGACTGATACAAAATATCACAGATAAAAAGTGAAAGAAGGAAACATAAACCTCAATTTAGAGTTTAATGACACGTTTATATGAGCACCAACAGATTTGGTTGTTTATAGCCCCTCAGTGTCGTTGGAGAACTTGACAGGAGGTGCAGACACATGTTACACAACCGAACCCAGAACACCACCACCGCCAAGTGATGACCTCCCTCCTCCACCACCAAGATTTCCTTTCGCTGCCATTAATGGCCAAAGATGCGGCTTTGGGGAAAAAATATACTGAGAGAAATTTCTACTGCTATTGGAATGTGATGATGATTTTAAAGGGATAAAGCTTACCTTTTTCATAGGTGGAGATTCACTGCTTGGATGTGGGATAAGAGAAGATGAAGCAATGAAAGTTTTTAATGCCTAAAAGAAGATGAATCGAGAACCAAACAGTATAAACATACAGATTACTGTGGATGATTCATATCTCTGAGATTTTCAGAACCTTCACTAACGTTAAACCTAAACATGAAAACTTGGTAATAAGGATTCAACTCGACGGAAACGTTAAAAAAAAATTGCAAGCTATGAAATCAAACGGAGGAACAGAACAAACCTGTGAATTCAGTAGCAGCATATCTACTCCATGAGTTTGCTACCGCGTCGAAAGTCTCTGGCCTCCCAAAAACAGAGCAACCGCACTTGAGCGGTGGAGGAGAATCATCCGGTCTTCAAATCAGAAAGAAATAATGTTGCTTTAGCCATTTTAATGAAAATAAGACGACTGGTTTGTCTCGTCAGGATGAGGATATGGTTCTAATTGTAAAAAAAGCTTACCCTTTTATAGTCTCAGTTCCAGTGCTTTGAATGTGTGAAGATCCCAATGAAGGTGAAGTGTAGGTGATGGATTTAAGGACTATAAGAGGTTAATCTGTAACTCTTCTGATTGTTTGGAAGAACTGTTTCAAATCTCAGGTTGGGCGTCTCGTGGATTTCGAATGGCGGAGATGAAAGAAGATGTGATTAACCCTACTATCAAACGGTGCGTCTGATCAAGTATGGATAAATAAAGGCCCAAAAAATACGAAGTCCACATGTATGGAGAATATGTTAAATGAAACGCGGAGGTTTGAGTGAAAGTGCCACGTGTAACGCTAAGATGAATAGAATTAGTGACGTGGCTGAACTAAAGGGAAGCAACTTTACTTTATATAATTAGATAGTTGTATCTATAATAATTATCAAGCCATTATAATGTATGCTTTGTAAATAGTTAGGCTTTGAAAATTGGACGGATTATATTTAACAAAACATGTGAGAACTTTGATTTAAAAAATGTTTTGCATTTAAGTCAAATAATAAAATGAATAAAGTAATATTATGATTGAAAATAATTCTAAGATGAATTTTTGGTTCATTGATTGTATGTTTTGTATTATTATTTAGAGATAATAAATATTTGACAAAAATATGTAAAAAATTAGGAAAATATTAGCAAAAGTTTAATAAAAAGAACGAAATTATAACGAGAAAAAAAAGAAGAGGCCGAAGAAAATGCACTATGTGTTGGAAAAGTTAATGTGATAATTACATACAAATATAATTTCACAAGTATTTGTTATTACTAAATATCATCAGTTTCTTACATCAAATTTATAGAAGCTTTATGACTGATTGTCAAACTCTTTGAAATTAAAAATTATATTTTAATGTTTCTAATTATTATTCAAAATTTATGACATTGTATACATAATATATATTTTCATACAATATTTATATCTGCGAATTCACCAACAACCACCTAATTTTAAATTACATTCTTTGAATATGATTATTTCCCTTGTTTAGATCACTATTGATTTAGATTTCTCACTTTTCATGTCTGGTTTTGATTTAGATATTTTTAACTACAACTACAAATCTAACTAAAATAAGAAATAGCAAATTGAACTGTATATTTATAGATAGTCAAATGTTTCTCCATGTAAATATTGTAAATTCTCAAACCAAACTAAAATAGAAGAAATAATAAAATATTTGTATGAATATCTAAAATAAAATTCATATATTTAGAATTTTAGTTTTAAAATAATCAAATATCTAAAGTCAAATTTATACATGAAATGTCTTTATCCGAAAATATCTAAATTACTCAAAAAATGAATTACAAAAAGTGAATTAACTAAAGTTACTTAAATGTATTCATTTAAAACATCTGAACTTATCTGAAATGGCTGGTATCTTTATTGAATTACAAAAATAGAATTTAACCGGAAAGAAGGTAAACTCGAATTTTATTAGATATTAGCCGACTTACAACCTGAACCAAAGACAAAACAGAACTGAAACGCATCAAACTTTTATAAATACTCGAATGGTTCTTATATTTTGTATCATAAATACCCAAAATCAGAAGAACCAATCCAAACAGAATATCAACGCTCATGCCCAATCTAGTAATATGTGAGCTCAAGTTACTTGGCAATAAATAATCTTACTCCGGACTGGTCTCTATCAGATGTGAGTGATGAATGAAAATCCAACCTTCATCCTAGAACCAACATAACATACTCAAGCTCTGATTGCTTATGTACACAGCTGTAATTTTGGCAAACATCCTCATATCAATTAAACTATAAATAATGAATCAAACAAGCTTACAGAATCATCTTAAACTCTTTGGGTTTAAGTGTTGTTTCGTAATTAGCGTCATCAAGACCCACCCAACTCATGAAAGCAAATAGAAACTCCCTAAACCCCACTTTCCATTTTCTTCTCCAATCCATTTCTCCTGCGCCACACAAACCAAAAACAAAATCCAGTAATCATCGTGTTTACCTTGTCGGAAAATGAGGGCCTACCTCAAGTCATGGACTTGTTGAGCTCTGGACACTACAGAGGTGTCATTCGAGAATGAGAGAGGAAAGGAAGTATGTAACAGAGTTTTTTTTTTGTCATAAACGTTGTTGCTATTACCATACTCATCGTAGTCAGACAAACAATATAAACTTCACAACATACAAATGCTACGTTACGACTAACACCCTTGATATACATTCTTCAATCTTCACTCTTCAACCTTAATCTCTCTCCGGTGTCACTCCAGTCACTCTTCTTGAGCTCAGATTTCCAGCATACGACCATGCTTTCTCTGATTCACCCATTATTCCCTTTTCTCTCGTGCCGCTCCTATACAGCAGCGGTGCTCTCCTAGGGCTCCTCGATGCTATACTTAGGGCAGGTGTAGCAAATGGGGAACCGTAGGGAGAGCTTTGTGCAGAGAATGGTTTCTGAGCAGCAGGCCGACCGTTGAGCCCACCTATGCTGAACAGGGGAGGCGACTCCGTGGCAGAGACGGATCTTCTCATGGCATCATCAACATACAACACATCATCTATTCTGGCAGTGACGTTGAACGCCATGCTCTCCAACACCCTCGAGTAACTCTCAAGAACACCATGCCCTACATCCTGCAAAAACACGCACAAAAATCAGTTGACAACCCATATCAATTCATTCGACCAGCAAAAGTTACACTAGTTTAGTTTATTCTACCCTGTTGTACTGGATCTTGTTCATGTCCAGCGTTGTCTGGGGAAGACCAGGGAAACGGATCCTCAGGCTCTGCAAGAGTGTCTCAGCTCTCTGCGCAAGGAACTCATTTCTTTCAGAGTCGTTTACAAGTCCTTTGACCTTGCCACTCCATGAAGATAGCTTATGCTTCACCTGCTTCTTGTGCTTCCTCCCGCTCTTCTGTCTCCAGACATGAACGGCAGCCTCAATTCTGTTGGCTATTTCAAGAGTCTGATGTTCAGACGAGAGATCAATACAGTCTAGGAGACATTCAGGTGAGAACTTGTTTGCAGTTAAGTACTGGTGGATTATCTCTCCAAGACATTCCTTCCCGCTCTGCACCAATTTAAACAAAAAAAAAAATAAGGACCTCAATGAGCTAAGGGAGAGAAGCTGAATGAATATGTACGTACCTTGGGTAATGTCTCCAAATAAGGGTCAGGTATCTCCATTTCGGCGAGCACACCGGCGTTAATAGCCAATGCAGCCTTGAGAATCTGGTTAGCAAAGTCCCGGCACTGCTGGAGTTTCTTCCTTGTCTCTTCAGACAGACCGTTAGGTGGAACCTTAGGGCAAGGCAGCCACCACTTCTCCTCCTGCCTAAAAGAAGGACGCCCACCACCGCCACGGGAAGCAGGAGAGTCGTAGGACTCCTTTTCACAATCTCCAAGACCAATCCCACGATCAGTATACCAGAACTCAGTGTCAGAGAAACGGTCGAGCATATCAATCAACATTGCATCAAGCTTCTTAAGAGCAGGGAGGTTAGCATAGAGATCAGAACGAGGGCGAGTCTCCATGATCTCGTAGGTTCCACCTCCTCCAGGGAACTGCTGAGTGGAAGGAATGAGCTCAACGATGGAATCGCATACACAGAGTAACCATTCAAGCTCTCTACGCCACATTGCCTTCTTCTGTGGAGCAAGAGGCTCAAGCCTCCATAGCTCACCAAACACAGTCGCTGTAATTAAATTAATTAAGCTAGTCGAATGATGAAGATGTATACACAAGAATAGAATCTTTAAAGAGATCTTTATTACCAGAGAGATTGGTTATGGCGTTGGAGATTGCAAGAGCTGTGCAAACACCTTTACCTCCTCCAGACATGTCTTCTCCAAGAAGTAACTTAGCAAATCTCTCCTTCATCATTTCAATTTCTGTTCCAAATAAGGAAACCCTAAGTTACTTTTTTCCTAATTTAGCAATAATACAAGCAATGTCTGTGTTTTGTTTCTTACCGGATAAGTCGCTGTCATGTTTCTCTGTCTTGTCATCCCAGACAACGTCTTTGCCGCCGATGACCGGGAGCATGACCGGCGCGGGGAAGTAGAACCTACGGGGGCTAGAGGCTTCTCCGAAGAAGCTGCTTGAACTCTCGGACTGGCAGCTAACGTCGGCGCTGGGGCTGTAGCTTCCGCATCTCTCGGAAGAGCACTCTTCGTCTTCCTCCGAAGATAGACTTGCCATTTTTTCTCGGATCAAGAGATTAGCGACAGCATTTACTGGGGGAAGAGAGAGAGACAGATAAGGAAATGTGGATCTAGTTTTTGCAAATGTGAAGATAAGTGGACTGAGAGTAAAGTTACCTACTCGACGAGGATGACGAGGAGTCACTCTATGTGTCTGCCGTTTTACTCTTTCATCTTAGCAACGCGTGCCGTTGTTGTTTTTTCTTCTTTACATTTGGTATTATTACTTTTAGTGTTTTGTTTGGAATAATTAATCAGTGACTTAAGTTTTATTTTTTTAAATATCAAACTAATTTTAATCTGCATTTTCAAAAGGAGAATATATGTTATCTATTAAAACAGAAGTCAAAATCTTTTACTTGTTAGCTAGGGCATAAAAAAAAGAAAATTCCAATTTGGGTCGAGTGAATAAATATAAATGGATGGATAAAAAAACCAGTTTTCCTTATTTCATGTTTGATTTTTTTTTTAAATAGACTATTCCATAGAAAGATTATCAAGATTATCAAATGTTACCTAATTTAAAGATAATATCTTTATCTTTCTGTGGAGGTGGAGGAGAAGCTTGCACGTGGTGCTCGATATTCCGCTTCTGCTATGTTTTATGTCGATCCTATGCTTCCGGTCTGGTTCTAGATGATAGTTTCTAGTTATATTGTTGTAAAAAAAAAATCTTTATCTTTCTATTTCAAATACAAATAAAATAAATCTAAAAAAAGTCTTTGGCATCTTTTGAAATTGTATATCCGTAAATCATTAATTTAAATTTTAAATCAGTAAATATCATTAAAATTATTATTTTATTTATGAATGAAAATTTAAAATTATCTAAAATATTTCTAATTATATTTTAATGAGAATATTAATATAAATTGATAGAGTTTCGAAAATACTTATTTACAAAATTTAAATAGATTATGTTAGAAACAAATACTGAAATTTTATTTCAAATATACAAAAATAATATATAATATATTTATATTTATATACTGTTAAAACAAAGTCATGAGTTATTTCATGTATAAATTTTTTATTTGGACCATTCTTTAAAACAGTTATCAAATTTTACATAATTTAATTATAATATCACCCCATATATTTATCTTTTATTTGAAATACAAATGTTTTTGCATAAGAAATTAAAATTTATCTAGATAGCACTATATATTCCTAAATCCTAAATAAAAAATATATATATGCTAGAGTTTGACTCACACAGATTTTTCATTTTATAAATATAAAACTTTGATAGTATTATAAAAAAATAAATATCATCCTATATATTAAATGAGAAGTTACTTAAGTGATTTATGCTGACGTGTCATTCATAGAAAGACTCTCCAATTAAATCTTATAATTTGATTGGTTAGTGATTTTTTTTTTATTTAATTAAATTTTTTAAAAGGAAACTAATCCTAGAATTAACTAATTTGATCTATATTACCAAACATACAATTAAATATCTTAAATATAGATGAACTAACATAATTTGTTTATAAAAATATTTAAATATCATAGATTAAATTATATAAATTGATAATATACATATAAATACATATGATATTACATAAACAATTATAGAAAATAGTTTTAAATTTGTTTATAAAAATATTTAAATATCATAAATTAAATTATATAAATTGATAATATACAAATAAATACATATGATATTACATAAACAATTATATAAAATAGTTTTAAATTAATATATCCTCCTATATATAAATTGAAAATTCACTTAAATGACTTTTGTATACATGTCACTCATAGATAAATTGTAAGATTAATTTTATAATTTTAGTGGTCGATAGTTTTTCATTTTTCATTTAATTAATTCAATTTTATTAAAAACAATAATCATAAACCAACTTATTTTCATTTGCCAAATAATCCGAAAATATTATAATAATACATATCCTTAAGTTTATGATAAACTTAACGTGAAATATATTCCATAATAGAAAAATCAATTTGAAACCTATGATTTAAAAAGAAGCATTCGGTTAATTTACATTTTTGATCATGCAAAATTTATTCATGTTCTATCAGTCTATTATTTTAAATACAAAGTGAAATTTGAATATATTTGAATATTTTTATATTGTAGAAAATATATCATCACGTCATATATATATTAACTGAGAAGTCAGTTAAATGACTTTTAACACATGTGAGTTATTATACTTTGATTAGTCTATGTTTTCTATTTTTGATTTATTTAATTATAAACCAACTTATTACAGTTGCCAAAAATATTAGAATAAAACATAAATATTAGAATAAAACACATCCTTAAGTTTATGATAAATTTATTGTGAATATATCAAATAATAAAAAAATCATTTTGAAACATATGATTTACAAAGAAGCGTTCGATTATTTTACATTTTTGATAATGTAAGATTTATTCATGTTTTATCAGTCTATTATTTTAAATACAAATTGAAATTTACATATATTTAAATATTTTTTTATTGTAGGAAATATACCATCACATCATATATATATATATATATTAACTGAGAAGTCTGTTAAATGGCTTTTATACACATGTCATTAATAAGTGAGTTGTTATAATTTGATTAGTCTATGTTTTTTTTTCATTTTTGATTTATTTAATTCGATTCTAAACACTACAAGAAAACTAAGCCTTTACTAGGAAATTTTACTAGGAAAAATGTTCCTCGTAAAATTACTAAGCCCTTACTTCGGGTTTACGAGGAAATCAAATTTCCTCGTAAGATCCTCGTAAAATTACGAGAAAACGTGTTCCTCGTAAGACGCTAGTAATTTTACGAGGAGTAATTTTACGAGGAGCTTACGAGGAAAAAGTACAGTTCCTCGTAAAGCCGTAGTACTGCCTTTCCTCATAAAATCATAGTAAAGGTTTACTAAGAAATTAGGAGGAAACTGTTTTATTACTACGAAATTAGGAGGAACAGGATAGAAAATATCGAATTTAAATAAAAAACGTGTTTTGTACCTACTTTTCCTAGCAATTTCCTAGTAAATGCTCAGATTCGAAAATTTCTATAAATACCACCTTATGTGATTCATTTGAAACACACCAAAAAACAGTCAGCTATAAGCTTGATCAAACACAAAAAAATGTCCGGTCCGGGAAATATTTTCGAGTTGCGACAGTGGATGTATTCACACAGAGATAATAACGGGAGGGTGACGAAAGAATTTCTGGAAGGGTTGGAGACGTTTATGCATCAAGCAGATTCTACACCACTCACGCAGGAAAGTGGTAAGATGTTCTGTCCTTGTCGGAAATGCTGCAATACCAAATTAGGCACTCGTAAAAATGTTTGGAAGCATTTAATAAATAGAGGTTTCATGCCATATTATTATATTTGGTATCAACATGGAGAAGATGCTAGTTGTAGGAATGAAGCTAGCAGTAGTAATAACAATTTTCAAGTTGTGTTGCTTGGCCTCAAACTAGGTTTGCTGATGCTACTATCATGGAGGAGTTGGAGATAGATGAGGACATCAAAGCAATGTTGCAACACATGAACATGGAGAGCTTCTTCTCCATAGCTCACCCTACTTATAAGGCGGTTTCATGTCAGTTCCTAGCTTTCCTAGAAGCCATTTTCCACACCACTGGGAAATGATGGGGGAAGATAACATTTAAGGTTCATGGGAAGGTCCACAACATGACTTTCAAAAAGATCAGACAAGCACTTGGTCTTAAGGATAAGAAGAGTCCATCACTTCCCACCACTCACGATGATGATTACTTGGAGTAAATTTTGGCAAAGAAGGTTTGGAAAGTATTGGCTGGCAAGGAAAGATAATCCAACCGTGACAAGAATGCTTCTATCCGCAACCCCTCAGTCCGTTATCTTCATAGGTTATTTGTCCATTACCTTCTCCCAAGGAAATAATTTGGAACTGTGCAAGAGCTGAATCTTCTTCACCAGGCTGTCCAACACTATGCCTCACCTTCTCAACTACCTTCTGTGGGCACTGATTTTTATAAGAACTTTGGACTGGTGGGATTCTCTGTGAAGAAGCTGGTGTTCAACAAAAGGTGGGCTTGGACAGCATCTGACCCTGAGCCTCGGGTCGGGATTGGTGGCTTAATCACTGCATTGCTTGAGCATATGGATATCTCTTTGGGAGATGATGCCTCTGGCCTTATATTATTGAATGGAAACTACTTGAGAGTAGCTCATTACTTCAGTGGAAGGTATAATGGTTCATGTGTCTATTCTTACATGAATTTGGGCAAAAATACTTCGGTTTTACGAGGAAAACTAGAAGCAAAGTAAGTTCCTCGTAAACAAACGAGAAAAGGCCGTAGTAAAATTACGAGGAAACTATGTGGCAAAAGAACATTTCCTCGTAATTTCGTAGTACAACTTTCCTCGTAAAGTCCACGTAAAACATTACTACGAAATTAGGAGGAAATGTTCTTTTACTTCTAATTAGCGAGGAACTGGCTAGAAAATACCTATTTTTAAATCTTAAAACGTGTTTTGTACCTACCTTTCCTCGCAATTTCCTAGTAAATGTTCAGATTCAAAAACTTCTATAAATTCCACCATTTGTGATTCATTTCAAACTCACAAAAAAAATCAGCTTTAAGCTTGATCAAAGAAAAAAAAATGTCCGGTCCTGAAAATATATTTGAGTTGTGGAAGTGGATGTATTCACACAGAGATAATAACGGGGAGAGTGACGAAAGGATTTCTCGAAGGATTGGAGACGTTTATGCATCAAGCAGATTCTACACCACTCGCGCAAGGAAAGTGGTAAGATGTTCTGTCCTTGTCGGAAATGCTGCAATACAAAATTAGGCCCTCGTAAAAATGTTTGGAAGCATTTAATAAATAGAGGTTTCATGCCATATTATTATATTTGGTATCAACTTGGAGAAGATGCTAGTTGTAGGAATGAAGGTAGCAGTAGTAATCAGGTTGAAGCGGTTGATCATTTGCGTAATGAAGGTAGCAGTAGTTATAGCTATCATCACCAAGAGGAAAAAATGGTAGATTGTGATAGGGTTCATGATATGGTAGGTGATGCATTTGTAACTCATGATGATGATGAAGTTGAAGAACCTAACTTAGATGC